TGCATTATGTTTGTCTGTGTTTGCTTGCATCAGGATCGCTGTGTTTTCAGTCACAGTGTTCTATGATGAGAGAGTAGTGATTGTGGCGGAGCAGAGGCCAGATGCCAGCGAGGAGGACAGCTTCCAGTGGATGAGTCGAGTTCTCCAGGTGAATCACATCATCGCCTTCTTCCAGTTTTTACTGTGAAGCAGCTTTTTTATAGGTGATGTTAATGATTATTTTGAATAAAAATGTAAAAATTCTCAACCAATTGGTTACAAACAATGGTCAAAAACAGTGATTCATTTTAAATGAATGCTGATATACTTAATTCACTGTGTCTGTGAGATAAAGGCTATTTTTTTTGGACAACACACCACTACTACCCAACAGTCTTGGTCTACATGTTGGTTTTCCTCAAAAGGCTATTGACAGCATCCACCAGGTGGGCCTCTACTGTCTGGCTCTGGTCCCAGCCAACACCTTACCTAAAACGCCCCTGGGTGGCATCCACATCTCCGACACCAAGCAGTTCTTCTTAGACGGCAACCTGCATCCCTGCAACATCCTCATGTGTCCCCATACATGTGTCACCAATCTGCCTAAGCCCCGGCAGAAGCAGCCCGGTATGTGTGTGGAAAAAGGAGATCCCATAATTATGCTGAGCTTTCTGACTGCTCATGGTATGAATTGCACAAGTGGAGATAAACCTTTGGCTCTGTCCCGCACCCAAGAGTCAGTTGGGGTATAAAGTGTTTTGTAAAATGAAAGCATGGCCAATAGTGTTACATAATGCACACATAACAGTTTCTAAATTTGGAAAAGTGTCATGCTGGCTGTTGCTGTGGCACATTTTGGCAAATGGCAACCAATCTGTATCCTTGCAGTGTGAACAGTCACATTTCAGTGATGTTATTTTGCATCCTGTATTTACACTGGATTAATCCTTGTGTTATTTTTCCTGAAAGGTAAAAATTAAACCTATGGTTCATTCTTGACAGGATTACATCTGAGGGGGCAAATATTAAGGTTTCCCTGGTCTTTAAAATCTCTCCCACACCAGTTTTGCCCCTTTCTTCCTCTGTATGTTTTTCTGTCCTCTCTCTGCCCATCTATTTGTCTCTATGACACGTTTTCTCTTGTAGTCGGTGTAGGTCCTGCATCTGTCATGGTGGGCAACCTGGTGGCAGGGAAGAGGATTGCCCAGGCTGCAGGCAGGGACCTTGGCATGATTGAAGACCAGGATCTTGTCCGGAAGGTAGTGTGACTTTGTGCATTGTCCCAGTCTTACCAAGCCACTAACTCTGAATCTGATCTGAATCTTTAGCCACATTCCCATTTTGAAAACAGCCACATACATATTATTCTGAAGGAGCAGGAAACTTTTGTACAGGGCCAGCACCAATTATTCAAGTGTCTTATGATCCTAAACACTGAGGTTTGAAAACTTTCCACTGCCAGTGCAGCAATGGTTCAAGCCTAGGCAGAACTCAGTCTTATAGATTTAATTTAAAAAAATCTGGACTCCTCTCTCTTTCTGCTCTTGTCTTGTCTCTTTGGATGTAGCTCTGTATGTGGCCCACTGTGATGGTAAGGATTATGCACCTTCCTCACATCCTTGTTTATTTCCATCATGCTCTAATCACTTGTGTACTGTGGTTTTAGTTTGTGTGCTTGTGTTAAAATGTGACACAAGCAAAACTGTGCATGTTTTTTTGTTTTTTTTTGTCTCTGTTACAACATATATACCTTAAGTAGCCACCCCTTGTTTTATTTCAGACATAACTTTCACATTCTAAGTTATTGTTCATTATTTTAAGCATTAGATTGGCTCAGAGTATGTGATGTAAATTGTTTTTGCACATTGGCAAGATATAAAGCTGTCTGCTGAGGTATGTGCCACTTTATTTTGTTTTATTTACTTGTTAAATTCAGTTCTTCCATCAGCACAGACCCTCCCTGTACGAGCCCTTCATGGTTGTGTTTGTAATAATGGATACAGTTATTCAAGCACACCCTCACATGTGCAGTTTGTACAACTCATTACATTTTTCTTCTTGTTATAGCATCAGTATTTGACAGAAGCTCTACAGTGGAGGGCACAGACAGACCCGGACCACGTCCTCTTTGTTCTTCTTAATGCCAAGGTGCTGAGCTCTTCACACACTGGAAAATGCAGCATCTCATCAATGCACATATTGAAGTTGCTAGTGGTTGCTACATGAATTAAACCTTGCGTGTCTGCTGACCCCAATCTTGCATTAATTCCACCTGTCCTGCAGGGTGTAACAGTAGGAACAGCGACCTGTGTCCAGCTTCACAAGCGAGCGGAGAAGATAGCAGCAGCGCTCACTGAGAAGGGCAGCATCAACACCGGAGATAACGTAGTGCTGCTCTATCCTCCTGGTAGGTTTGCCTTCAGCTTCCTTTCCCAGTATTACTCCCAGATTAATTAGTGTTAGGCTCAGATTGTTTTCTCTCTTTTTTTATTTTCACTCCACCTTTATCCTCCACCTGTCTCTCAGGCATTGACTTGATTGCAGCCTTCTACGGATGTCTTTATGCTGGATGTGTTCCTGTAAACGTCAGACCTCCGCACCCTCAGAACCTGGCAGCCACACTGCCTACTGTCCGCATGATTATTGATGTAAGTGTGCTCTTTTGTGCATGCAGGTGTGTTATCGCATGCTCATAGACTGTGACCTCCTAAGTCCCAACAAAAAAACTGCAGTTCACCAAGAGTCAGACTAATAACCTAAACTGTAAATCAGTTTTAACTGATGTATTATTGGATTTGTTTTTTTTTAACTATCAAAAATTAGTAACTGTGTCAGCATCTTGTATAAAAATAAGAAGATAAATCATGTTGTGTGCATGAGTGTACTTTTATTTGCTTAGTGCTGTTTTTGTCACTCATTTAATTCTCCCGTTTAAATGAACCATTGTATATATTACAAAAAAGAGCGATAAGAATTGTGCATAAGATGGGGTATAGGGATCACACCAACGTAGCTTTCATACAGTCTAAATTGTTTAAATTTTTTGATTTAGTGGGATATAAGACTGCTGTGTTTTTGTATAAAGCCAGGAACAATTTATTACCTGGTGGAATTCAAAAACTATTTAATGAAAGGGAAGGGGGATATAATTTAAGGGGTCAGTTAAATTTAAAAATTCATGTTATATGTACAACCAAAAAAAGATTTTGTATTTCCATAAGTGGGGTAAATCTATGGAGTAATTTAAGTGTGGACATAAAAAATAGTAATAGAGCTGATGAGTTTACACATAAATATAAAGGTATGTGTCAATCAAGATATATGCAAGAACAGGCTTAATGATTAATTAGATGGAACATTGTGGGTGTGGTGTATGAATGTTAACACCTTGTATTAATTCTTTAGTATGTTACTTGTGTGGTGTAGAAGATAATTATTTAAGAATGTAATTATGTAAGAATGTTAACACTCTGTTATAATTTTTTTAGTATATTACTTGTGTGGTGTAGAAGATAATTATTTATGTAGAGATACTGCTTGCAAACCAATGATGGTAAGATGATGTCATGGGGTAGGACTGGATAAGTCTGACTTCTTCCTACTCCATTCAAGCATGTACTAGGTATAAGCAAATTGATATTGGATTAGCATTTGTTGGATATGTGTAAAATTATGTGTGTTGATATATCAACTGTCTTTACATGCTTGAAAGAATAAATAAATAAAATAAATAAATAGAGAATGTGTGGAACATTTTGAAGTGCAAATTGTGTCAATGAAGACCCAGGACTGTTGCACATTAAGACTTCTTTGCAGGGAAAATGGAACAAAATGACACCTGACACATATAATCGCTTGGTGTCCTCGGGTTAATCTATCAATAAATCAAATAATTTAATAAAACCCAATCCTTCCTTTGTAACTCATAAGGCATATTTCTATTGTTAGACCTTAATGTGTTACTAATGCAATTTAGTAAGATTCAAAGTCTGCTCTAGTCTATTTGGTTTCAAGGTTAGCAGACAGAATGTTGATTCTGAAAAGTGAACCATGGCACCAATTGTTTTCTTGAATTTAATCTTGTGTTAGAATATTATGTCTGAATAAATAAATGAATCCCTTAGCTACACACCATGTTACAACATACACACACATTGAGATTCTTCATTTTGTTATGACTAGGTAAAACGCAGCTGCTCCAAGTATGTGGAGCTCTAGATAAGAGATGGAGTCCGCGGACTGACTTCATCTGGGGTTTTGTAATCTACTGTATTTGTGTAGGCAGCACGGTGGCACAGTGGTTAGCGCCGTTGCCTCACAGCGAGAAGGTTCCGGGTTCGGGCCCCACCTGGGACCTTTCTGTGTGGAGTTTGCATGTTCTCCCCGTGCTTGCGTGGGTTCTCTCCGGGTGCTCCGGCTTCCTCCCAAAGACATGCAGCTTAGGTTGATTGGTGTCTCTAAATTGCCCGTAGGAGTGCGTGTGTGGTTGTTCGTCTATGTGTTAGCCCTGCGATGGATTGGCGACATGTCCAGGGTGTACCCCGCCTTCGCCCGATTGCTGGCCGGGATTGGCTCCGGCCCCACCCGTGACCCCGTTCAGGGACTAAGCGGTAGAAAATGAATGAATGAATGTATTTGTGTAAAGGGTTAGCCCAAAAATTATTAAAGTATTAGGCTTTGTGTGGCCAGGAACTCCTTTCTCCAGCAGCCAGTGTGTGTGTCTCTGGCGGGGGGAGCAACCCGAGTCGTATTTGTACTTTTACTAGTGGTTTAAAATAAATCTGCACTAAATGAAGAAAGATGGACTTCTTCGTTATTCAGAGCTGTCCAATAAAAGAACTGGGGTATTACAGACCAATGACTGTTATATCATCAGCAAACTTTCGGAGCTTGACAGAGGGGTCCTTCGAGATGCAGTTGTTGGTGTAGAGTGAAAACAGCAGAGAGGAGAGCACACATCCCTGGGGGGCACCTGTGCTTATTGTCTCGGTGCTGGATGTGGTTTTCCCCAGCCTCACTTGCTGCTTCCTGTTTGTCAGAAACCTAGTAATCCACTGACAGGTGGGGGCAGGCACAGTGAGCTGGGTCAGTTTGGAGTGGAGGATGTCCGGGATGATGGTGTTGAATGCTGAGCTGAAGTCCACAAAGAGGGCCTCACAGCTTTAAGTTTCTACCTGTAGGTTGGAATAAGGTGGACCATACAGTGATCAGAGAATCCGAGGGCTGTGCGGGGGACAGAGTAATAGGTGTCTTTTATTGTTGTGTAGCAGTGGTCCAGTGTGATTTTGTCCCTGGTGGGACAGGTAACGTGCTGTCTGTATTTGGGCAGTTCACGGGTGAGATTTGCTCTGTTAAAGTCCCCTAGAACAGTAAGTAGAGAGTCGGGATGTTCTAGCTCCACGCTAGTTATCAGTTCGGCCAGGAGCTGTAAGTGTGCTAGCGTGGGCCTGCGGCTTTAAATAGGCACCCACCAGGATGAAGCTCAAAAATTCTCTGGGAGAATAGAAGGGTTTGCAATTGATAAAGTCTCTAAGTCTGTGTTATATGTCCTCAGTAGCACTGACATCTGTGCACTAACCTTCATTCATGTAGAAGCAGATTCCACGACCTCTCGTTTTCTCGGACAGCTCCGTTATGCGATTGCTCAGTACACCTGGAACATATGGACTGTGTTACAAGAGTATCACATATTATGTTATAGTCATTAAATTGAGAACGAAGAGTCCAAAGTTATCATAGACTGATGTATTATGCAACATAGGCTACTTGACATTAATTTTATTTCATGTAGGCCAGTACTGTACATGAAATGCTATAAATAGCATTTTAAAAGTGGTCCAATTTATCAGATGCACTCATGTACGGAGGTCTAATTTACTTCACATTCAACATCTGTGCCTGGTCACATACTAGCTAACTAAACTAACATTACCTTGTTTATCACCTACAGCCAGGTCTTGCCTCTCTCACCCTCATCTCTCTGAACCTGTTCCTTGTCTCTGCCTCCACTAAAAAAATGTTCTTATGTCCATCCACAGGAGTCAAAAATTTAACTTAGTCCCCATCACATACAGTCCATTTCTTTTTTTGTTTTGCACACCAATACATGGACTGCTGCGTGCACATTGCAGTGCAGCAGCTCCAACGTGCATGACATGCGCATACATGTGCAGCTCAATAAATTAGAATATTGTGGAAAAGGCCATTTATTTTGGTAATTCAACTCAAATAGTGAAACTTGTGTATTATATAAATTCAGACTGAAGTAGTTTAAGCCTTTGGGTCTTTTAATTGTGATGATTTTGCACACATTTAACAAAAACACACCAATTCACTATCTCAATAAATTAGAAGACCTCATAAGACCTATAAAGATTAATATTGACATTCATTGCAACCTCTGAATAAGATGCAACTGTTTTGTATAATGCTGTGTACCGTTAAACGCTTCTCTGAAACAATAGCAGACTAACCCCAAAGTGTGGGTTTAGGTCTGTGACTGCTGACGTCATAGTGGCGGTGGTATGGAAGCCCAGGATTCTTTGATCTTGGCCTTCAGCTCATCTGCATTATTTTGTTTCTCATTTTCCTCTTGACAATACCCCATAGATTCTCTATGGGGCTCAAGCACACCAACACCATGGCCATTTAACCAACCTTTGGTGTTTTTGGCAGTGTGGGCAGGTGCTAAATCCTGCTGGAAAATGAAATCAGCATCTTTAAAAAGCTGGTCGGCAGAAGGAAGCATGTACCCTTCCTCCAGACTCTAGGACCTTGGTTTCCAAATGAAATACAAAACTTGCTCTCATCTGAAAAGAGGACTTTGGACCACTGGGCAACAGTCCAGTTCTTCTTCTCCTTAGCCCAGCTAAGACGCCTCTGACGTTGTCTTTGGTTCAGGAGTGGCTTGACAAGAGGAATACGACTACTGTAGCCAAATTCCTTGATACGGCGGTATGTGGTGGCCCTTGATGCCTTGACCCCAGCCTCAGTCCTTTCCTTGTGAAGTTCACCCACATTCTTGAATTGATTTTGCTTGACAAGCCTCCCAAGGCTGCGGTTCTCTCGATTGGTTGTGCATCTTTTTCCTACCACTCAACTTTCTGTTAACATGCTTGGATACAGCACTCTGTGAACAGCCAGCTTCTTTGGCAATGAATGTTTGTGGCTTACCCTCCTTGTGAAGGGTGTCAATGATTGTCTTCTGGACAACTGTCAGATCAGCAGTCTTCCCCATAATTGTGTAGCCTAGAGAACCAAACTGAGTGACCATTTTGAAGGCTCAGGACACTTTGCAGGTATTCTGAGTTGGCTAGCTGAATGGCATGTCACCATATTCTAATTTATTGAGATAGTGATTTGGTGAGTTTTTGTTAAATGTGAGCAAAATCATCACAATTAAAAGACCCAAAGGCTTAAACTACTTCAGTCTGTGTGTACTGAATTTATATAGTACACGAGTTTCACTATTTGAGTTGAATTACCGAAATAAATGGACTTTTCCTCGATATTCTAATTTATTGAGCTGCACCTGTATGTGCGCACCATGGTGTATGAACCCTGACCACTGCCCCTCAGCTTGTATTTTGCTTTGACATTCTAGATTAGAGCAGCAAATCAATTATTATCAATCTAAATTAATCCACTGCCAAATATAGGAGCTTGTTAAAACTCAAATGTGTGAGTTTACTGGGGC